TGAAGAAATGCGTGTACATTTATTTGACAATTGAAACATTTGCCCACATTTGTAAGACAATTGAAACAATTGCCGGTAATTGTGCCATATTTGAAACTCTCGATGGGCATTTGATACACACTTTTTAGGCATTCGAAATGTATAGCTTATCTATTCCGAAATGTACTTTTTTAATTTTTTTGATGTGAAAGAAATAAATCGTGTAAGTTTAAATAAATCTTAAATATGCGCAAAAAGGCGGCGCGCGTTTTATGTGCCGTCATGTTCACTTTATTCAGGTTGTTGGTTCTTTTAAACAATCATTTGCGTGTAACATACGACCTATATGTATATGTTTTCTAATGAAATTAAAAATAAGAAAAACTCCAATACAAAATAAACTGAAAATAAACAAGTGTAATGGTACTTTAATTAAGCATCAAATTAACAAATAGAAAATGACTTATTTGTAAGTGTTCTTTAATCTTTTATATTCGGTTTCTACTCGTATTTCAGTTTGTTCTTCGAAATCTAAAGTCATTGGATATATTCCTTGCATACTTATGGGCCCGTGAAATACAAATTCAGTAGGGACAAGTTGGATATCGCCAACTTTAGGCTACAAATACTGGGAAAGAGACGACTTCTTGCATTTAATTTTGATCTCCTGGTCTGTCAAAATAATAGAATACATTACGGGACAAATAGTTTTTTAAAGACACCTTAAGTTCCTTGACACTAAGATTTCTAACATTTAAAGGGAGACAGTTGTAAAGAGACTGGCCCTGAAATAAAGTTCCATTTTGCGTAACTGACAATCTGCAGAATTTTGTATTCAGATTTAGTTTGTGTCTTGTGTTATAGTCATGTTTATCTGATTGCTGATTAAACATACATATATATTATTCTTAATATACAAAACTGCTACCAATATAAATAGTGAAGGAAACGTCAATATTCCAAGGTTTTTGAAAGTCTTGTGGTATTATACAGTGGGCAGCACCTTTAAGTAATATCAAAATACCAAATAGGGTTCATAATTAACTGTTTATAAATTTTGTACCGATGGCTACTTTTTAAGATCCAGTGGACGTTTATTAGATATCAATAATAGTTGGATTACCAGTGGATAACTGGTGCTTCCATTCAATATCCATTAGATGTTCTGTGCTATGTGGGTTTATGATAATCTCTACACAACTTTAAATCTAACTACTAACCTGCGCGGGGCCAGTGCAGGATTTATTATGCCAGGACGCTACCATCAGTGCCAGAAGTTTACCATCAGTCGGCCGCCTCTTCTATGTTTGCTGCGAAATTATAACACTTGTGAGTTCAAATTTTAAAATGGAGACGCCCACCATTTTGGTCAATCCAATCATTTTTAACTACTTACTGGTCATGCTTTAGTACAAAAATCTATAAGTTTTTACATAACATTTGTTAAATTTGATGGTTAATTACCTAGAGCGGGTCCACTGAGAAGGACAGCGATAGGCGTTCGAAATATATATCTGGTCTACCAAATAAAAAAAATTACTGAATTAAATTCTCTTTCATCGGGTCACAGGCCGCTCAGTTGCTGGTCCGGAGTTCACACGTTTCCTAATGATTCATTGAGAATGAAATACAAAGTTATTAAAGAAAATTTAAAATGCATGTCATTTGATATATGCGGTGCATAAAACACGTCCGGATCCCATTTGCTTCGGGTCAGGTCGTAGGTACGGGAGACACAGCTGTCAAACGAGACCAAACGCCACTGCTGAGGCTGAAATGGGGTTATGTTATGAAACCAACGTGGTACTGTGGTAGCAGCTTCCTTAAACGCGTTTGCTCTTCCTTGTCAGAGCTGTAATTCAATTGATTACTGGTAAACATGATAATGGGTAAGAGGTATGTTTAATTATCAGGAATTATTGCAGATCTCGGCTATCGTTCGCCAGTGACAAATTTTACTAAAGAATGAACTGGGGTTGTATTTCAATGCCTGGCTAAAGAAAAGGGAAGTCGTTTTAAGTCCGAAGATGAGGCCAATTGAATTCAACAAATAACCCTAATCCTTTATGCACAGGGATTCTCTCTATATTGTATCATAAGCGATCCGTGGAATTTACTGCAAACAGTACGAATTAAATGAAATTTACGGGTCACTGGCCAAACGATATAAGGAAACTGATGTGATTAAAAGAATGTGTTAGGAAAGAACAACAGACAGAACAAGATTGGTTCGAGCTAAACGGTATTCTCAAGCCTCTGAAAAGGTTGTCGGGCAAAAGGTTCCTTGTTCATGGAAAAACCCACTTGTCTAATATTTTTAAGTGTCTTATTTTGCATCCTTTATTATTATTACATTTACAGTGTAGAGGATTATCACTAATTTGCCATTTTTTTGCAGAACCTAAGTTGATTTATCAAGAGGTGGCATATTTGTACGGGAAATAGACCTAATCAAGTCTTCTACAGAAGTAACTGATGGCTGGAGAAGGTTCTTGACGGGACCCCACATATTACATACGAAATAACGGAAGGTGTACAATGCAGAATTAGCATACAAATTGGATGGAACCAATTCTCAGAATGCCGAGTACAATGATGCTAACAACTTGTCCACATATGAAGTGTTCCAATTGCTCAATTTTTTATCTGAAGTTTCATCCCTCAAGAAAATTTCTAAAGATCTTGAGAAATCTGTGTCGAATGTATACTCATAGATCTGCAAGCCTTTTTGGTATCATGTGGAAGCGATGGACAAGATGATTTATTAAAAGTACAACATGTCCACGGCGAAAACGTCCATTGGAAAAAAGAACTTCAAGCTGGCCTGATTATTTGAGCGAGAAGCACCGAAACCATCAAGCAGCTATTCATAAACAAAAGGGAGATATGTGACTCGGACCATTACCAACTCCGGAAAATATCAGTCACATTTTTTTTGAGGTGATTTGAGGTGAGTAGTATGTTGTTCTATACTCTATTCATTTTAAGAAGGTAGCAGTAAAAAGCATAGGGAAGCTTTAACCTTGACTGTCGATTGGTTAACATGAATCAGTATTAAGCAGACAAATAAAATAAGCTGGTAGTTTCTGCTGCCCACAAAACTGTCTAACTGGCGTTAGCTATTAACGTCAAAGGTCCACATTTATTTCTGTTCGCAGTGCTGAATATTCTACTTTACAATAATTTGGTGCCGTTTTATATTTTTCCTGTGTGTGCTTATCTTTCAAAACAGCGCCCTTCTTATAATGAATGCAGTATACATATAATTTGATTACCAAATACAAATAGTTAAGCTCCTTAAAAATTCCCACTAAGGTAAGGACACTAGTAATTGATTGGCACTATTAGATGATCGTATAGAAACCCAATGTTACTTGGAATGCACCAGTAATCGATACCTTTTACTGAGGGGTTGTCACATAGCGAAAAATGTGTACTAAAAGAATACACAGTTCAAAGAATACCCAAGATTTCCTAAAGACTACCTGAAAATACCCAAGATTTCCCCAGAAATCCTAGAGGCTTCCTCGGAATTCCCACAGACTTCCCAAGAATTCCCACACTTGTGTAACGTTCAAAACCGTTCAGTTAGTTAAATATTATACTGACTATTTAGTCCAAGCTAAATAGCTCTAAAATAATTTATTTTCAAACAAAATTAGTTACCGGGCGAAACCGGGTTTTTCAGGCAGCTGACATGAAGAGAAATTGGGAAAAAATAATTAAAACAGCTGAATTTTTCCGCGGATGAAATCACGGGCGTTGCGGTGTCGCATTTTTATTAGTTGACAGTTTTTCTCGTCTAAGGGGCGGAAAGTGGTGTTTTGCAAATTGTGGCAAAACTATTAATTTTAAACGAAAATGTTAAATGTAAAAGTTACAGAGATTAAAAAAATGAGCAACTTTTGTATCTGCACTATTTTCACATAACCTCCAATTTTCCTAGAAAAACCGGAAAAATTGTTTATTATGGCTTGTTTTTTATGATAAAAAAGAAGATATTATTGGGCCCATAAAATTGAAACGTTTTAATGTTATTTTTTCGCAAAAATAAGAATAAAAAACGAAAAAAACAGTTTTCCGATTTTTCTAGGAAAATTGGGGGTTATGTGAAAATAGTGCAGATACATTTTTTTAATCTCTATAACTTTTATATTTAACATTTTCGTCTAAAATTAGTAGTTTTGCCACAATTCGCAAAACAGCACTTTCCACCCCTTTCAACCCCCGAGATTTCACCCGCGGAAAAATTCAGCTGTTTTAATTATTTTTTTCCAATTTCTATTCATGTCACCTGCCTGAAAAGCCCGGTTTTGCCCGGTAACTAATTTTTTTTGTAAAAAAATATATAGCCTGGACTAAGTATGTTCCAGGAATTTTATATTTTGTAAAAAAATTGGATATATTCAGACACAAACATTTATTTTGAAAAGCGACAAACATTATAAACATAATACTTTAAATTCACGTACAAACGTTGCAAAGGAACCTAAATCAAAAAATGGGTATAAATAATTTTTAATGTTATTTTAATAAGATTTTGTCTTTGTACCTTTTACAAATGACGTCTTTTATTTTGGGCCGAATTGTTAAAGGTTTTTGTCCAAACATTTCAATACGTCCAAAAAATATGTACTGTTTGGTTACCACTTGCTTATCTTTGCTTATCGTTTGTTGCAGATCATCATTTTAGCCTTGACTGTTAAATAATTGCATTTTTTGATTAATTTTGTCAGCTGAAATATTTAACGTAAAATATTGAGCTTTTTTTGAATATTGGTGAACTGGTTTTAAGGGCACCAAATTTAGTACGTGTTTTTTAGTAGTACAAGTTGTATTTTGAATTTGACATGTTGTAGAGAATAAATCTTCCCTTACTTTGACATGGTGAATATTAGTTTGGGGGATTAAATTATAAACAGTGCCACCTGAACCAACCAGTACCTAATCAAAACGACGACTGGTCGCGACTACGACCAACAACATTTTTATTCTTAAATTTGACATTCTAATAGTCATTTATGCCAAAGAAGAGTGAGCGGTTGAATAATGGGCGTCCACCACCTTACCTCGAGGAATTTGTTACTGGAAGTTTATCTGACGATTCAAACGACGACAAAGACTTGGATGTAACAATCAAAATGGAAGATTCTAGGGTTACATCACTTTTGGAAGGACTTACGAATCAGATTACATTGATGCAAGCACAGCTGATGCAAAATACAGAGGTACAGACAAGGATGGAAGAGAAGAATAATGAACTTCATCAGAAGCTGGAAGCTACAAATCGACAATTAGCTGAAGTTCAGCGAACGATGAAAATTGAAGTCCCTCCTACAACTCGATCATCAGCTATACTGAATAATACAGTCCCAGTAACATTACCTGCACAGCTTGATACGCCTTCGCCTTCGATAACTCCGACAAGAAATTCTACGCACCAACAGTCAACACCTTCATGTTCAATTCCTAGTTTTTCTGTTTACCCAAATAACCCTGTATATTGGCAACAGCATCCATCGTTACCTGTCAGAAAGTATTTAGTAGCATTGCCAAAGTTTGATGGAAATCCTTGTGACTGGCTGGTTTTCAATGCAGAGTATAAAAGAACTACGACAGAGTTTGCATATACTTCTTCAGAAAATACAACGAGACTAAACAGTAGTTTGCAAGGGAAAGCTCGTGAGCTTGTTCAGTGGTTATTAATTCACGACGACATGGCGGAGAAGATCATGGAGAGATTGTATAGCAGGTTTGGTCGACCAGAACTTTTAGTGGACGCACAAATTACTATGTTGAAGAACATTCCCGGAATCTGTGAAAATAATGTGGGACAGATTATTCCTTTTGCTGACAAAGTGATCAACTTTAGTCACTTTATGTTAACTTGTTCTAGTCAACATCAGCTTGCCAATCCCACACTGCTTAATGAGTTGATCTTAAAGCTCCCAATGAATATGAGAATTGCATGGGCCTCTCATATTAGTTCACTGACTGGTGTCCCGTCTATATTAGATTTTAGTAACTGGATTGAAGTTAAAGCCGACAACATAGCCAGAGTTCCTGTGTGCAATTCTTTGATTTCTCCGACAGAGAAAAAGACGACACCCAAGAAATATCAAATGCTTCACACTTCCAACGTTACAAGTAAGAAAGAAATGAACTGTGTCTTATGCGAAAAGAACCATTTCATCGCTAACTGCCCGGATTTTTTGAATAAATCTACAGATGATAAATGGAAGTTAGTAACAGAAAAGAAATTGTGTTTTTCTTGTTTGAAATTTGGACATTCTACTAGAATGTGCCGCATTAGAAAGTCTTGCAATAAGAATGGATGTAACAGAGTTCATCATCCTCAATTACACAGTGAATGTCAAGATAATAAATCTACGCCAACGGTTTTAAATATGGAAGTATCCTGTCATGCTGCGTTGAAAGCAAATGAATCCAAGGTGTTGTTTAAAGTAGTTCCAGTAAAATTATACAATAGAGGAGAAGTTGTTTCCACGTATGCATTGATTGATGAGGGATCAAGCGTAAGCCTTATCAAGAGAACCGTAGCTGTACGTTTGAAGTTGAAGGGACCTATGCGAAAGTTGAATCTCCAATGGTTCGGAGACCACTGTAGTTCTGAAGAAACTGAAATCGTTAAATTTAATATATCTGGAATCCATAACAATGCCGAAGTGTTTGAGATGAGGAATGTGTGTACCGTAAACAATCTTTGTCTTCCAATGCAAACTGTAGACATGAATCAGCTTCATTCCAAATATGACTACTTACAAAATCTTCCTATTGCCAGCTATACTGACGCCCGACCAGAACTATTAATAGGATTGGACTTTTGTCATTTGGGATTATCGAACAGAAAGATTCAACAAACATCAAATGGACCTATTGTTGCAGAAAGTCCTCTTGGTTGGATAGTTTATGGAAGAACAGTTGACAATGAGATACAATCAATTCCAGGAAGAATGTTTCATGTGAGAGGGTACTTTGACGACATCCATTCTATTGTAAAAGACTATTTTACCACTGAAAACTTTGGTGTTGAACTATCAACAACACCAAGAGAGTCTTCTGAAACGGTTCGAGCGCGTCAACTGTTGGAATCAACAACAAAAAAGGTCAAAGGTCGTTATGAAAGTGGTCTATTATGGAAAAACGATGACATAGTTTTACCAGATAGTTACCCAATGGCAGTCAGTCGATTGAGAAATGTTGAAAACAAGATGAAAAAAGAACCTGTTTACGGTATGAAGTACAAGGAAACTATTGTCAGCTACGTGCAGAAAGGATATGTTCGTAAATTGTCATCTGAAGAGGTTGTTGAAATTACTCCACGGACTTGGTATTTACCACATTTCGGTGTACTGAATCCAAATAAGCCTGGAAAATTCAGACTTGTATTTGATGCCGCGGCTAAAGTTGGAAAAACATCCCTTAATTCATCATTGTTGACAGGTCCAGATCTAAATCAGCCACTCCTCACGGTTTTATCTAAATTTCGTGAAGGTCAAGTTGGGGTATGTGCTGACATCAAGGAGATGTTTCACCAGGTGATAATTCGTGAAGAAGACCAAAACTCTCAACGATTTTTATGGAGAAATGATAAAACTGGCGAAATTGAGGTATATAAGATGTTAGTTATGATATTTGGATCCACATCTTCACCGACAACAGCTCAATATGTCAAAAACTTTCATGCAACACAGTATCTAGAAAGTCATCACGAAGCGGCCAAAGCAATTATTGAACGACATTACGTTGACGATTACGTTAATAGCTTTCACACCGATGAACAGGCAATAACTGTATCCATGATGGTTAAAAATATTGAGATGGCTGGTGGTTTTGAATTACGAGGTTTTATATCAAATTCAAGAAAGGTTACTTCGATCTTGAATCAGGAACAAGGTGATCAACTATATCAAGTGGATATGAACTTGGACAAATCCCCTACATGTGATAAGATACTGGGCATGGTATGAGACACATCCACTGACGAGTTCAAATTCAACTTGAAGTTTAATCGTTTAGAATCGACAGTAATCACTTGTGAAAGAATTCCAACAAAGAGAGAATTTTTAGCGATTGTCATGTCAGTATATGATCCGTTCGGATTCTTAGCGGATTTTCTGGTATACATGAAGGTACTCTTGCAACTTGTATGGAGGTCTGGTGTAGAATGGGATCAACCAATACCTACACATCTTTACGAGCGATGGTGTGCATGGAGTCGAGAATTAACAAAGGTTAGTCACTTTCGTATTACACGTTGTTACTCAAAGGGACTGCGGATGCCAAAAGCTGTTGAACTTCACATATTTGTAGACGCGAGTGAAGTCGCTTTTTCAGCAGTGTGCTACCTTCGAGTTACTTCGCAAAATGAAGTTACAGTATCATTCGTCATGGGGAAAACTAAATGCGCACTTGTCAAATACCTTTCCATCCCAAGGCTCGAATTGCAGGCAGCAATTCTTGGAGTTAGAATGTATAAAACTGTTTTGAGATCTCACAGTTTTGTTATTTCAAAATCGACATTTTGGAGCGATTCGAAAACTGTACTTCATTGGATCAAGGATGACATAAGAAAATACAAGACATTCGTTGCTAATAGAGTGGGTGAAATTTTGGATTCAACAGAACCCACTCAATGGAACTGGGTTTCAACACATGAAAATGCTGCTGATGATGCGACACGTGACATTTATCCACCTCAGTTCAAACCTAATCGAAGGTGGATAAACGGACCAGAATGGTTGAAGCAAGACAAAAGTAAATGGCCTCATCAAACAGATTGTCATGTAGTAAATGATGAAGACCTAGAACTACAACCACTAAAACATGTAGTTATGATGATTCGTGAAAATCTGATTCAATTTAACTTTGCAAATAGCTCGAGTTATTTCAAAGTTTTACGTACAGCTGCTTGGATGATACGTTTTGTAAATAATTTAAAAGCTAAAGCTTCCAACATGAATTTACATACAGGTGAACTAAAAGTTGAGGAAGTAAGACAGGCTGAAATTTTGATATTCCGAACTGTACAGATGGAAACTTTTCACGAAGAATACGATTCACTGACTAATCGTGTTCCTATCAGCAAATCAAGCGATATATATAAGTTGACACCAGCTTTGGATGAAGATGGGATTATTAGATTAAATGGACGAATTGACAACGCTCCTACATTACCAATGAGGACCAAGCGACCTATAATTTTACCAAAACAACATCCAGTCACAAAACTTGTCATCAGTCATTATGATCGTTTATGTCACCACCAAAACGAAGAATTGATCATTTGTGAAATTCGAAGAAAATTTTGGATTAACGATTTACGTGTTTTAGTAAGGTCATCTAAACGCCAATGTCAGCAATGTAAAAATGAAGCAGCTCAGCCAGAGGTGCCACAAATGGGACAGTTACCACTAGATCGCCTAACTCCAAACATTCGACCGTTTACGTACACCGGACTAGATTATTTTGGACCTGTTCATGTTACAATTGGAAGAAGACGTGAAAAGAGGTGGGTGGCATTATTTACTTGCTTGACGATTCGTGCAGTACATCTCGAAATTGCACAAGACTTATCGACAGATTCTTGTATCATATGCCTCCGAAACTTTATGAATTTGAGAGGAGTTCCAGTTAGAATCCGATCAGACAACGGATCTAATTTCCTCGGAGTGAAGGGTGAGTTGATGACAGTTGAAAATTTGTATAATAAAGATGCCATAATATCGGAATCCACAATGAAAGGAATAGAATGGCTGTTTAATTGTCCTTCCAATCCATCAGCGGGTGGATGTTGGGAGCGACTAGTGCGATCTATTAAAAGAGTTCTCAAACATTCGTTAAAGGAAGTAGCTCCGAGGGTTGAGACATTACGCAGTTACTTGCTTGAAGCAGCAAACATGGTGAACTCTAGACCATTGACTCATGTACCTGTGTCAGCATTAGAAGAACATCCATTAACACCAAATTCTTTCTTAATTGGAGATACAAATGTTATACAATCACCTTATACGCCAGACGAAAAATTATGGACGTTTCGAAAGCAATGGAGAGTGGCAAATGCTTTAAAAAATCATTTTTGGCGTAGGTGGATAAGAGAATATTTACCTATACTAACCAGGAGAACAAAGTGGTTTGAAAAGAAGGAGCCGATCAAAGTAGGAGATCTAGTAATCATTTGTGAAGACGATGTTCATCGAAAACAATGGATACGGGGAATAGTAGAGAAAGTTTTTCCTGGTAAAGACGGTCAAGTACGGAGAGCAGAAATACGAACAAATGATCGACTTCTTCAGAGACCTGTATCTAAGCTTGCAGTTCTGGATGTCATTAGTAAATCAACCCAGTAATTGATTTACGGGGGTTGGAATGTTGCAGATCATCATTTTAGCCTTGACTGTTAAATAATTGCATTTTTTGATTAATTTTGTCAGCTGAAATATTTAACGTAAAATATTGAGCTTTTTTTGAATATTGGTGAACTGGTTTTAAGGGCACCAAATTTAGTACGTGTTTTTTAGTAGTACAAGTTGTATTTTGAATTTGACATGTTGTAGAGAATAAATCTTCCCTTACTTTGACATGGTGAATATTAGTTTGGGGGATTAAATTATAAACAGTGCCACCTGAACCAACCAATAATCAAAACGACGACTGGTCGCGACTACGACCAACAACATCGTTACCACAGTTAGAGTTTATTTCTCTGCGAGTTTCCCTGCTTATTTCACTTGGAGTTCCTACTCCCCTCACTCTTAACTGCCTGTCAGCACTAAGTTTGTTGGCCTTCATGTCTAACAACTAACACAGTGAAGATTTCTTGATTGTTTTCACTTTGTTATTGGATAATTTTATTTTAACTACAGAGTTTGAATTTTGACACGTAGTGTTTGTGAAATTCAATGATGTGAAATTAGTTAACACATCCTGTGTAATATCATGATCAAGATCATCCCCGGAATCTGGTGACGATTTTTCTTCAGTTATCAAATCTTGTAAGTAATTACCATGACAAATTGGATTTTCTTTGTGTTCTGCATTGCACTGTGGTGCAATGTTGTCGTCTATGATTGTTTCTTCGCCAACATCACTCTGGTCACTGTCACATTTTTTGAGCTTGTGTAATTTAGACCACGAATCGTGTACTTACCCAGTCTATATTTATTTTCTTGCAGGAATTTTGTACGTCACTGAGTGCATGTGAAACACATCTCTTTATTTCATCATTAGATAAAAACGTTTCGGAGTTACAATTATTCGAGTCAAAACCCATTTTTTGGCTCACCTCTCTTGGAAAAACGAATTTTCCTGACAATTCAGTAACTACATTGTTAATGTACTGAATTTTATTGATGCGCTGCATTATTTCCGATAAGCTAAAATTAACGATGGTAGAAAAGGTGGAGGTTAGGGATCTAGTTTGTCTTTTTGGAGAAGACAGATATGTGCGAAAATGTAGTAAGAACGAGATTAAAATGAAAATACTCTTTCTTTTACTTGTCAGAAAAACACATTGACACTATTTAAACTCTGATGCCCATTTGCACCGACAAATTTAAGCGGAACTTAGCTTAAAATCCATGGCAACCATTGTCTCAATAATTGTTGCCATGGATTTTAAGCGACGCTTAAGCTAAGCTCCGCTTAAATTTGTCGGTGCAAACGGGCATCAATGCTACACTGATCAAAACTGATCTATATAAAAATATTAAACAAATCAGTGTTGCTATTTATCTCCACATGTCTGAATATTTGCTCGCATGGCTGTGAGCTAAAAAGCCATGGAATGAACATATCTTTGGTAAAGTTTTTTTATCACGGAATAAGTTATTGAGTTTAATTATTGCATGGCTATTAAGCTCAATGCTATATGCATTTAACGAGATAAAATTATCCGTCGTGTTCCATTGACTCGATGATAATAACCAATAACGCCACATTCTCAGAAAGAAAATACAATACCAATATTATAAATTCTGTCGTATATCGTTAAAAGCCTTATTCAGAAAAGAATCACGAACCATTTTCATTATTTTTAAGTACTGAATAGTTCCGCCAGTGTTTTTACAATCATTAATGAGAATTTTTAAAACGCTATCGGAACAAATCTTTTCTGCAGTCTTGTAGTTCATCTTGTCCTCGGCCTTTAAGTCTGATAAAATAAGAAAATGTTTATTTTTACTGTGATTAGTAATAATATCTTCCAAATCGTTTTTAGATGCTGAGAAGTCACCCATTACCAGCAGTTTTTGTGATTCTCTATGAGATTTTAAAAAGCGGGTTCTTAATTTTGTTAAAATATGTACAGTGTCCTGTACACATTTCAATCAATATTGTGTTTCTCGTTATCTATACTACCAAGGGGCATATGAAACCATTCCCTTTATCATTACCTTGTTGAAATTTAGTATGAAGACGAATAGCATTCAACAAGCGGGTGTCCCCGTCAGATCAAAAACCAACAACGGTAATATTAAAATGTTGAGCAACTTCCTTTAAATATTTCCACTTTCTTAGAATATCTTCGTAAGTGGACTTGTTGTCAGTACCTGTGATGTTCAGAGTGAAGGCGGCACTTCTATCTTGCAAAGGTTGTGCCATCATGACATAAGCGTATATAGCTCATGGACATTCGTCAAAGTATTTCTGTATAGCAGCTGCATTTCCAGCGGGAAATAAATTTTCCTTTGGCAAACCCGTAGATTTATCCAAAGCACTTACAAAACCCACTATGTGCTCATTCTGCGATTGATATTGTATTCTTCCATTGATTCTGGTTCCATCTTCGCTAATCCATACATAAAAAGGCAAATTTTTCAACTCAAGATAATCTTTTAGCTCTTTAAAACGCAAAAACGATTCGTCATATACGGGGAGACTACGAATATGTTTACATATAGTACTAGGGGAAGGCAGTGAATTTTTTAGGTTTGCATATAGGGTATCATATGACAAACGTCCACTGATTATA